TTTTTATTATGTGTTATTATTTTCTTAGTCTAACAGATTTTTTTTCTAGGGCTTTTATGATATTAAGATTTCATATATATATATATATATATATATATATATATATATATATATATATATATATATATATATATATATATATATATATATATATATATATTATATATATATATATATATTTATTATTATATATATATTTATAATATTATATATATATATATAGATATATATATATATATATATATATATATATATATATATATATATATATATATATATATATATATATATATATATATATATATATATATATATATATATATATATCAGGCTTTCCCAGGAAAGGCGTGCGGTCGCACGCCTTGTTTGTCCACGCATAGAATAAATTTTTTTGATTAACTGACCACGTTTTATTATTACGCGTTTCAAGAATTTGCGCCAAAACAAAGCTAAACAAAAATACCGCAAAAATACAAGCAATGCTAAAGTAAATAAAAGAAATCTGTTTGTGCTTTAAAATTAAAAAAGTAATGAATATTAATAAAACAAAGATTTATCTATATTTCATTTATTTATTTTTTCTTGCTTTTTAGAGTGGTAGTTAATTCAGCTATGAAAAATCAAATCATTACAAAACAAGGAAAAAGAAAAAGATTATAGTTTATATAAATTTAATGAAAATGAAAAGACCTTGTAATGTAAAATTTGTTTACCATTTTATCAGTCGATAATACTTAAAAATTCACGCTAGAATTATAAAATTTTTTTAAATTTATGTGTTTAATCGTTTCGTAAATACATTTAAATGTTTAAATGTATTGATACACAAAAGAGCGCAAAAATTTTTGCAATCATTAATTAACATTTTGTTTTGCAATTATTAATTGACATTATGAACGAGTGTTAAAAGTAAATGTCCCGAGGGAGCTATTTTTGTAACAATAATTACAGAAGCAAGGCAATTATTTTAAGCAATGCAATTATTTTAAACTTCTTTCGTAATTACAAAATTATGCAATTGAATAATTTCAACGTAATAAAAGGCGAGACTTGACTCTGAATAATCAGGTTAGAATAAGTCGAGAGAGAGTAGAGAAATGAGTATTACAAAACCTATCACAAAATCACTAAAAACTGTTCAATCGTGGAAATATGATTTTCTCGGTCAAGAAGTTATAAAATTGAACGATATAGAAACTGTAGTTAAAATCTGGTGCAAACTGTGCGCTAAACATAAAAACAGCATTCACACTTCAATATTGGGGATTGCTAGAAATTCCTTAAATGCTTTTACAAATGGAACAAATGTTGTAACACATCATCAGGTTTAATATTTATAATGTATAGTACATTAAAAAGGTAAAAAATATATAGCTATACATTGCGATGTAATCTTACTTATTATACCTATATTACAGGTTATGAGGCATTTATCAACAAAGGCACATAAAGAGGCTGCGCGATTGGAGGAAATTAGTAACTCTCCTTCTATAGTTAAAATAAATGAATCTCAGAGTCCTATAACGGATACTGATAACTCAAAAAATGCATCAACTTTTGAAGCAATCTTAAAGTTAATGCGCACTGCATATGAAATGGCATTACATCCTGCTATGCCACATAGTCATTTTGAGATACTTATAAAGGTTCAACGTGATAATGGTGTCCAATTAATGCACGGAAAAAGCAACAAAAATGCTGGTAACTTCATTTAATATATATATATATATATATATATATATATATATATATATATATATATATATATATATATATATATATATATATATATATATATATATATATATATATATATATATATATATATATATATATAAATATATATATATATATATATATATATATATATATATATATATACACACACATTGGTGTGGGAACAGGTGGGGAGGGGGCGGTAGCCCTTAAGAAATACCGTAACTATCGTTTTTTTATATTTAACACTTTAAATATATACAATTTATGATTTAATATTTTTCAATATTTCAATGTAATTTTTCATAATTATTTTGGAATAACTTTTAAATTAAAGTTAAAGTTAATTTAAGTTGTATTTTTATTTTAGCCAGAGAATTTATTCATTGCATTGCCGAGGTAATAAAAGTGAAAGTAGCGACTATTATTGCTAGCAAATCTTTTATGGCTTTGCTATCCGATGGTAGCCAAGCGCGGAAAACAGGCAGTGAAAAAGAAGCCATATTAGTTAGAGTTGAAAATGCTGGTATCCCGTGTTATTTTTTTGTTGCATTGTGTAATATGACGGATTTTGGTGGAGTTGATGCTGACTCCTTGAAATTGGCATTGGATAGTGTATTTATTGAAAACGTTATAGCTAAATGCAATATTCCATTATCCGTTACGAATTATCGTACAAAGCTGGTATCAGCAACAGCTGATGGAGCGAATGTTAATCTAGGTATCTATAGTGGTGCGTTAACTCAATTAAAAAAAACAAGACCATGGTTAGTTAACATACACTGTGTTAATCACAGATTAGAGCTTGCTTTAAAAGACGCTATAAAACAATTTAAAGACTTTACGGATTGGGACAATTTTTATACAACTCTATTTTATCTTTTAAAAAAGTCAGGTAAACTGAAGGAGTCATGCAAACATGCTGCAGCTGCTTTGTCTATCGAGTATTACACTCTAAATAAAATTCAAGGAACCCGATTTGCATCGCATCGAGTTAAGGGTTACACTAGTTTAATGCATAACTGGCCAGCTTATCTAGTTGCCTTACCAAATGCACTAACTAACAAAGGGTATGGTAACCAAACAAGAGCCAAAATACAGGGGCTTGTAAAGAAATTAACAAAATATGCTTTTCTATGCAAAACCGGAGCGTATCTAGATGTACTCGCGGCAATGAGCCTTTTGTCGCTTTTTTTTGAAAAAAATGTTTTATTTGCTTTTGAAGTGAATCCTCAAATTGTCCAAACAATAGCACAGTTGACTGCACTGACTGCAGAAAAAGCTGACGAAGCGTACAGTAGCTCTGCACGAAAATTTATTATTAAAGAAGAAGGTGGTATTATTACTCTTGAATCTGAATATATAATCGTTGGCGACAAAAAAAAAAAAAAGAATATAAAATACATCGACATCAAACTTGAAGGAATGATAAACCCAAAGCAAGAAGACGTTGAAAAAGCTTTGGAGCTGAGAAAAGAATGCATTAACATATTAATACCATTAATTAATAGTCGATTTGCATCATTTAAAGATAATCTTGTGTTCGCGTCCATGACGTGGCTTGATCCCAAATATTGGACGAACAATCAAGATAATGGATGGGAAAATATTAATTACCTTATGGAATATTTTCGCGAACCGCTCGAAGCAGCAAACTTCAAAGAAGCAACAGTTTTTGAAGAATGGAAAACTTTGCAATTATTCGTAAGATCGTTTTACTCTAGTTCAACTTTCATAGAAATTTGGGAAAAACTATTTATATATAAAAGAAAAGATTTTCCAAATATCCTTTTGTTATCCGAGTTGTGCCTTTGTTTATCATCGTCGAACAGCGTAGTATAGAGATGTTTCAGTACACTATCTACTATCCTTACAGACCATCGGCTCAGAATGAAACATAGTACCATGGAACAGTGCTTGTTTATTGCTGGAAATTGCCATGTATGGACAGATGATCAGCGTAAAGATATATTAAAAGAAGCTGTTTACAAATACTTGGAAAAACGTAGAGTTGTTAAATTTCCTATTCAACCAAAAATATTAAACAAAGAAAATACGTCGAAAACTAATAATGCTGAAGTTCATACAAATATTATGCAAGCGGCTATACCAGTTGAAAGTGAAATAAGTTCTTCCGAACCATCGGGTTCAGGTAAGCAATATCAAGGATCCAGCAACAGTGATGACTATTCCAACGATGGTAGCACATCAGATTCAGATGAAGAACACAGTGAATTCATGGGCGAAGACTACTTTACTAATGATTGCAATGAAACAATTTAGATTTATTAATTTTATTCAATGTTTATTTAAATGAGCTTTTAATACTTTTTTCCACATTAAAATCTTGTTACTTATAAAATCTCAAATAATATATTTAATAATAAACAGCAATTTATTTTCTTGTCTAATTATTTGGAAATAACGTCATCGCCATTGCATAAACCTTTGTAAAAACTGAATAAAATGAAAATGTTTAACCAAATTTGTATAGCGTAAATAATGAATTAGTTTTTTAATATATTGACTGATGAAATTCGTGAATAAATTATATATCAAGTCTTTTTAGTTTCGTGAAATTTTTATGACTTATAGTCGTCTTTTCCTTGACTTGTATCAAATTTCGACGCTGAAAATAACAAGCCTAAAATAAGAAAAAAAAAATAGTATAAAAATTTTGAAAAAAATGTTTAATTTATTTAGACTTTTCTTTTTTTGTTACAAGAATATTTTTTTGTTAACTTTTTTTTTATTAAAATATTTTTCTTACATCCTATTTCAATTTTATGCTTTAGTAAGATTTCGTTTCTTATTTTTAGTATTATTTTTTATTCCCTGCGGATGAGTTCTACTTTACCGCGAAATATTGCAGCGGTCACGTTTTCTAAAAAATTTATTTTAAACGTGGACAAACAAGGCGTGCGACCGCACGCCTTTCCTGGGAAAGCCTGATATATATATATATATATATATATGTATATATATATATATATATATATATATATATATATATATATATATATATATATATATATATATATATATATATATATATATATATGAATATATATATATATATATATATATATATATATATATATATATATATATATATATATATATATATATATATATATATATATGAATATATATATATATATATATATATATATATATATATATATATATATATATATATATATATATATATATATATATATATATATATATATATATATATATATACGAAAATGTCTGTGTGATTGTGTGTGCTATTAATCTAGCTTTTTGGACACAATGGAACAATTGGTCCGAGTGCATACCCTGTAGTGTAAGTGAAATAAGCAGATCCCGCATATGCAATACTACTAGTTACTTTTTAAGCTGCATTGGGAATAGTTCTGAAGCTAAGTCTTGTACCAGTAATACAACTTGTGTGGGTTAGTAATTCTTTTTTTGTTTTTGTTTTGGTATTTTATTTGTCATAAATTTTTGATTTTTCATTATATTTTTTAAACTTGTATTTTTACTTATTCTTATAATAGATATTGTTGCTAACTTTATTTATTAGCTTATTGGGCAGAATGGAACAATTGGTCTGAGTGCATGCCATCATGTGGCATTAGTACAATGAATAGATCACGTGATTGCAATAACAAAAGTGTTTTTAGTAAATGTTCTGGCAACAATACTGAAGTATTGTCTTGCTTGAGTGGTGTTACTTGTGTAGGTAAAATTAAACAAATGTTTCCTTTTATATCAAATTTATAAACAAAAACATTTTGTTTGTGTGCATGTATATACATATTTTAACATCCACACAAACACACACATTTCTGTGTGTGTTTGTGGATGAAATGAACTCCTACATAAGTAACTTAACAATTAACGTAGTTGAATAAATATTTGCACAACAAAATTTTTTAAAAATAAATTTGTTTGATAAAAATATAAATTTCAATCTAAGTAGATTTTTACTTAATCTAAGAAATCTAACCTAAAATGTTCATTTTATGGAAACATGCACTTGCAAAAGTATTTTATCAGGAAAAAGCACCGTAAACTTTTTTTTTAAACTTACTTTATTTGAAAATGCTTTAACTTTAATACTTTGTCAAAAGTAATTAGTATTAGTTTAATTAGTCTACAAGTTAGTCAATTTTTTTTCCATTCTCGTTTCAGATATTTAAAAAAACTTGTTTCTATTTTGGTTTTCAACCTAATGTTAGTCAATGGTGGTGTTCCCATAGATGTTCTATAGAATTAAGATCAGAACTTTGCAAAGGCCATTCCATTATTCAACTTTTTTTTAAACTTAAAAAAAATTCTTTCACTAGGGTTAAAGTGTGCTTTGAGCTATTTTCCTGCTAAGAAATCTATCCTCAAGGCAATTTATTTTCATCATGTGACAGCATATTTTTAATAACATCCTTGTGCATATATTTTCATCAATCAAGCAGATAGGACTCATACATTCTCTGGTTAAGCAACTCCAAATTATAACATTTCCAATTCCATGTTTTAGTGTTAGTAGCTGGTGTTTAGAGTCATTTCAATGGCAATTTGGACAACAAACATATCTAACACCATCAAAATCAAATAAAATAAGCTTTGATTTATCACTAATAAGTACCTTTGACTTTTTTATGTTCATAAGCAAATTTCATGCATGCTTTTTGATCTTTATAAAAGCAGATCTATTTAGAAGACTTTCTAAAAAGATTTTTAGAAAGTCTTCTAAATAGATCTGCAGACCTTAAACAATGCTTGGTTGTGACACAACAATAAACATTAGAAAATTCTTTGATTTTAGCATTTATAAAAACCGCATATTTGCTTGGATAATTTTTTTTGAAGAAAACAAACAATTTATTTCTCTGTAAACCAGTTTTGTTTAATGAGTTTGATAGTTTTGTTTTTGGTCAAATAAAATTTAACAAAACTTATCTTATCTTATCTACTAAGATAAGATAGCAATAGTATTTATCTACTATTGCTATCTTATCTTAGTCATCAAGTATTTATCTTAACTTTTATTTTTTTTAGTATATTAATAAATATTATATTTATTAATATAATATTTATTAAATATTTTTATTTTACTTAATAAATATTTTTATTTTTTTTAGTATATACAGGCTTGTGGGGCCGATTGTTTTTTTTACGGCTCGGCTCCGGTTATGGCTCCTAAAAAATATCCCGCTCTGTCTTGTGATTACAAGGTTTTTGTATTACTATCACTACTCTACTACCAAATATTATATTTGAAAAGAAAATTGTTTTAATAAAAAAACAATTTTTTCTATATATTATTTGCCCAAAACTACAATTTTTAGTTCAAATTTTAGTTCTAATTCTACCCAGGGGCGCGGTACCTAAAAAAGACGTCTTTTGAACGTCCCAAAAACATCCAAAACAATCTAAAGGCATCGAAAATATTCAAAAGATGTTTAAAGACGTCTTTCTTACATTTTCACTGAGTTCTGTGCCCACCAGATACCGTATGGGCACGAGACCTAAAAAGACATTTTTTGATCTTTCAAAGGACATTCAAAGCGCTCCAAAGACCTTTAAAAGACCTCTTTTGTATGTCCCGTTCCCATTGGGTAAAAAATGCGATCGTTAAGTTCAAACAAAAAAAAAATCAAAAAAAATCAAAAACAGTTCAGCCAATACAAAAACTACAAAAAAAAATTATTTTAATCTAAGGAACTTGAAGATTGTAAAAGTGCTTTTTATTTTAATATTTTTCATTATTTCATATAAATAAGCAAACATTTACGCTAATCAATAATATCAACTTTTGCACAGTGTCTTTGACAATTTTTTTTCCTCTAATGTCCACTCTCTAATCAAGTCTTTAGCTGTATTTATTGTTTTGCCAGTCTTATGTAAATATCCTTTGCCAATTCCCCCAAATTTTTCATTGGGATGGAGCTGTGTGCAGATTGATGGATTCAAGCTTTTTGGTATGAGCTTGATGTCTCTCAAACTGTACCACTCTTCTTAAAATAATTTCAAGAAGCAAGATTAGGCCAAAATCAACATGAGACATTGTGACTTCAATAAAATTGCAAAAGTCTATCATGCAAGTATTCTTTGATGAAAATATCCGAGTTTAAAGTTGACGATGTGACAAAAGCTCGAGATCTCAAACCACAGCTGCATATTGCTTTCCAAAATTTAATCTTTAAAAAACTCTGAAACTTTATAGCTTTTGGGTTGTTCTCTGTTTGATAAGCCAGGATTCTGCATGAATGATTGTCGAATACTAATTGCTGCTTCTTATCCTTAAAGCCACTCTTTCTCCCAGATCCTTTTGCTTGTTCGATAGATAGAGAGCTCTTCTATTGTTTTATGACCTTATAAACAATAGTTTTGCTAAATTCAGATCCTTTAGCGACTGAAAGTAACGATCCAGAAAGATTTTGTAGATAGTTGTGCAGAATTTTTTTTGTTTTTCGAAATGTTTCAATGACATTTTAATTAGGAGAAAAATTTTGACTTGTTTGTTGAACTTTTTAATTAATACTGTAATTACTTAATGTAGTTACGCGAAAAAAAATATTTAGTAATGTGTTAATGACAAGTTTTAAAACAAAATTCATTGTTCCAAATATAACGATCTCATGCTTTAGTATAATTTAAAAGATAAGAATATTCATTTAAATCATGCATCAAATATTTAAAATCATAGTATCAGTATAAAAATATAATATAAAGCAATTTATGCAACACTGTAATGTTTCCATATACACTTTTTAATAAAGCATAATAAAAAATATTTTTAAAGGATAGTATTTTGTTGAGCGCAAAATTGTTTAAATATTCATTTTTATTATGTTTTGGCAAGACTGTAACTGTTAGAAAAGATATTAAAAAAAAAATAAAAACTCAATAAATTCATTCAACAAATCAGTTAAACTATAAATGAACAAACTTTTTTTACTTTATCTACAGTAAAAAAAACTAATAAGTTTAAAATAAAAATAAGTTTTATTCATATAAAAAAAACAAGAGTTAAGAGCCGCTCGATTTTTGAGGCTTCGACTCCTGCTCCGGCTCCATTAAAAAACAGCGGCTCCATGGTTCCACTGATCCGGCTCGGCTCCACAAGCCTGAGTATATAAATATATATTCTTATTTTTGTTTTCAAAATTATTTTTTTCAGCACATTTTTTACATTTAATTTCAAATAATTTTTTATAAATTTTTGAACTTTTAAATTTTTAAACTTTTAAAATTTTGAATTTTTGAATTTTTTCAAGTATCCTTACTTTGTAGGAGAATGGAATTTGTGGAGTGAATGCAGTGAAACATGTGGGCCAGGATATAGGATGAGCTTTCTGCGAATTCGAAAAGACACGCAACACTATAAAACTAAAAGTTGCTTTTTGAAAAACTGCACAGGTTCACTTAAAACTTTTCTTTTTTTTTATGTAGTTTTATATTTATTTTATTTTAAAGAAAAATTTAATTGGTCCATATTTTGAGTTTATAGTTACCACAAATGGTTTATTGCATAAATGAGTTTTTTTAAGGAATTCTTTGAATTCTGGAAATTCACTTGAAACCTCTTTAAGTTTCCAGAAATTAATAGATGATTTTTGCTATTGATTTGTAATAAAATTTTATAAAATTTTAAATAAAATAAAATTTTAAAGAACAGCAATGGGTCCATATAAGCAACTATGTTTTCTATAACTGAAATTTTTAAGAGGTCAATTTTTGCAAAAAATTTTTTTACAAACAAAAATTGTATTGAATAAATTTAAATTAACTATTTTGAGTATTAGAACTTTCTTTTTGTGAGAACTAAATTAATGTAAATTTCATTTTTTTATTAAGGAGGATTACTATCAAGGAGTATTTGTAGAAAGTTCTTGTTATTGCCAAAACTATAAAATGAAAGTTAAAAGTTTATCTGACATTTCTGAGATTGATAAAATTATATTATAATAATAATATTAAAAACAAGTTGAGCTGTAATTTACAAGAGAAAGATTATAATGAAGAGTATTACATTATAAAACAGATAGATATGACTGAAATGGTAAGTTTATTCTCTAACTGAACCCTGAATGGAATAATTGTATTATACTATTATTTAATTTTTTAGGAGTAAAGTGTGTAATAAAGTCATATATTATGGAGGTAGAAAATCTTTACTCAGCCACTTAAAATTTGAAGTATATTGTCAAAACTGCCCAATGGTTATAGTAATAAAGCTATACAGTTGTCAATTTTTACTTTTTTTTAAAAAAAGTATTTTGCCATACCGATGCATATTGGCAGTAATTTAAAAAATAGGTTGAATTTTAGAATTATACCTCTTGTAAATTTTTGAGACTTAAACATTAAATGCATTTATTATTCAGTCTTGAGCACTCAAGACATGCAAGACACTCGCATTTATATGTGAACAGTCTTCCAATATCAGTCACGTTCCTTATGAAGGTTCTTAGTATATTCTTAGTATATATTTGTGATAAAGCTAATAAAGTTATGACAAAGCTAATAAAGTACTAAAAACACCATGCGTTATCACTTTTAATCCTGTTGTTCATTTATTTAACAAAGATGCGATTCCGCTAAGTAATCTAGTTTCCAATTTATCAGTTTCTACTAATTATATGATGGAAAAAAATCAATTGGTTTAAAATAAAATTTAAAGTTCCTCACTTAATATTGATGGTGATATTTGTCATCATTTACACAATGTTGTCAAAAACTTCTTTTTTTAGCAAAGTAGTTGAAAATTTTCTGGGTGATATCTACATTGATTTTAGGTTTAGCTTAGATCTTTCTACATTTCTGAAAAATATTTGTCATTACTGGTGTCAGGTACAACACTCCAAGGAAAAGTATTTTTCATTGGTGGTTGTCTGTTTTAGATTGCACACTTCCTATGCTTGAAATAATGCCTTCTTTCAATTTAATTTATACTTCCTGATTTTCAAAACATGACTTTTCTCTGTATAAAGATGAAAATGACAAAATTTTAAAGAGGCAAATGAAAGTAAAAAATTAATAGCAAAAATAAAATCTGGAATGCAGCAGAAAAAGCTAATGAAACAAGGTGCAGAAAGAAAAGCTAGAATTAATAAATGTTTATTTTTCTGGCATAATGATACATAATTTAATATTAATTTTTACATTGAAATTGTTCCTAATTTAAAATTATTTAATTTCACTTTTGAACAAACAAAACTGTTGGTCTGTTAAATTTATAAGAAGCAGATTGAAGTGATAAAGGTAATTTTAATTTGTTTTATTAGCTAAAGATGATAAAAAGTATCACAGGAACAAAGTTGAAACTTTCAAACCCGAAAGACAAAAAAATGTATCACCATTCGAGTCACATATACTTTAAAAGCAGTGATTGACCAAAATTCTGTTTCATTATCAGTTTTAGCCGAAATTTCATTTTGAACCAATAACAAAGTTTTAGTTTTGGTGCTTTTTATAAATTTGGTAAAAAGCAAAAGTTCGGTTCAAAAACATACTAAAAACAAAACAAATTATTTTTGAAACACTTATTTTTAAAAATTTTGACAAAATGTTTTAAGAATTTTCAAAAAAGTTTTATGATTTTTCACAGAATTTCTCGAAAAAAATCTTGTTTTGCAAAGTAAATCTGCCAGTTATTAACTTTCGCTATTAACTTATGTATTAAATACAAGTATAAAAGTGTAAAATTGCATTTTAAATAAATTTTTCTAATGAAATTAATTTTAACTAGCTAAAATGTTGGTATTGGTTTTGCTAAAATATTTGCTGAAATGTCGGTTTCAGCTCCGGCATACAACTAGAGTACTCAAAATTTTGGTTTATTTTGGTTTCATCTTTTTGCTTTTTTGTACAATCACTACTTAAAAGTAAGACTGAAAAATGTTTGTCTAAAATAATTAAATCATTTATTTTAAGACCTTGCTTAAATTTTACCTTAAATCATCAGTTTACTTAATGAAATATCTATTAATAACCCTTTATTAAAAAGCCTTTCTGCAATTGACGAAAATTCTCTAGGTCACAAAAAAAATCCCAAAAAAAATTCCAATTGTCTTTTTCACTGTAGATATAAAAAAAGTAATATTTAATAAAGAGGCTTTGCAACTTCAAATCGATATAGTGCATCCACCCATATTTGCTGATGGAAAGCCCATACGTCTATATTTGCCTCAGTAGCCCTCATATTGAGCAGTCATTCAGTATGATGAACACAATAGTTAATAAAAAGACAAACCCTCTTGGTAGAAGAGATATAACTGAAACTATAGCAGAGTACTTCAAGGTACTCTGCTATAGGTTTAGTTAAATATCAATTATTAACAAACAAGACCACAGCGTAAGGTTATTTCAAGAGAAAAGATTTATTCCATGACCCAGTTAACAAAAACCTCTGTGGCAAGTGCTATATTAAAAAAAATGGATTTGCAACAAAAAAATAGAAAAGGTAAAGGGATCCCAAACTCCATATTTAACATAATTTAAAAAAAAAAGGTTTGAACCAAGTTTTTTTGATTAAAAATAAATTATGAATGCATACCGAGAAAAACTAATCTTGTTGTTTTAGCCGAAGCTCCCCTTCTCCATTTTACTCAAAAACTCAGGATCTTTAAGTTATACGTCGCAATCTGCAGACTTTGGAGATTCCTTTGAAGTGCGTTTAATTCATAAAAGTTTTAGTATTTGACGTCACAGTAGACTTAAGACAAATGAAACTCTGAAAAAATTTTTATTTATTCTTATTCATAAATTTTTTCATTATTTAGTTTAGTATATTTTCTACTGGTGACAATTTTGTCGCAAACGAAAGCAAATAACATATTGTAGTAAATTAATATCATTGTACCCTCCCTTAGATTTAATTATAGTCTGAATTCTTTCAGGAACACTAGCAACCAGTTTGCGGCATTCCTTGGTTGTAATTGAGAACCAAACCTCTTGTACACTAGCCCAAAGTTCATCCTTATTCTTAGGTGAAGTAAAAAAGTTGTAGACCCGTTTTTTAATTATTGCCCATAAATTTTCGAGTGGGTTAAGATCAGGGCATTGTACTGGCCAGTCAACAACTTTCAATTTCTTCTTGTGAAGGAATTTAATAATCTTATCAGCTTTATGCTTGGGGTCGTTGTCTTGCGACCCCATTCATAAGGCTGATACATTGTGAACATTGTGTTACATACATTTCTGCCCCATTTTCGAAGGGATTTAAAATATCCAACCTTAAGGATGTTGATATAGTCATCAGCATTCATTATTCCATTAATTTTTACTAATTCACCGACTTCACGAGCACAGAAACATCCTAGTGTGACTTCGCTACTGAGACTTTCCGTACTCAGTAGCGATTTCATGATAAGATTGTCCGGATTTAAGCCTTTCCACAATATTTTTTTCTAGTTCAAGATTTATTTTCCTCGTGATGATAATAACAATACTTTTTTTATATTTTGTAAACAAAATCAAACTTTAAATGGTATTTAATTGTTAAAAATCTGTGAAAAGTTGATAACTCAATCATTTTATTCATAAGGTTATTAATTTATGTCATATGCCTAATTCGCGACAAAATTGTCACCATTAGCTTTTCACGCAAAAATTAAAAAAAAAGTTTAATATCGTCTAAATTTAACAAAAAGTAATATTTTTAGTTAGCTAAGTCTTAAATTTAATTAATAAAACTAAAATTTCATTTTTCTTTACAGCTTTTTTATTAAAACATATATAAAATATGTTTTTGTTCAAACATGGTGACAGTTTTGGCACATACTGTACTTAAAACAAATGATTTTAATGACGGGAGTACTAAAGTTTTTTTAAAACAAATGTAGGTAAAAAATGAATAACGAAATAAAAAGTTCAACTTTAAACATCTCTCTTCTATTATATTGCAACTATAAATATTGAAATTTTAACTTGAACTAAATTTACTTATTATTTAAAACTAGTAAGCAATAAATAAAAGTCCCCTAAATTTATGCGATATTGTAATCTTTATTTGATCATTGTTGTTGTTTACGTTGTATTTGTTATTATTTTCATCAATATCAAAATAGTCCCAGATTGGACTATTAATTGCTTTGCTCATTGTTGATTTAATTTTATCTTAAAGTTTATGTAATCTTTAAATTTATGTTAAGTTTATGTTATCTTTAAGTTCTATATTCAAAAAGAAAAGTTTTTATTTCATCACACACTCTATTTATAAAAGGGTAGAACAAAAGAGAAAAAAAAGTTTCACTTAATTAAACTTTGAATGAATAAGAGTTGTAATGAATATTTTTTTTTGTGTCACTGTTCATTACATGTTGTCATTACATCATTACATCAGGCAATGATAAAGCATAAACATTTGAAAACTGTAGTTTTTATTATTTCAAATTAACATGAGTGATTTTGCCTGT